GTGTGTGTGTGTGTGTGTGTATGAGAGAGAGAGAGAGAGAGAGAAAGAGAGAGAGAGAATGAAACTATTCTTGAGCAAAACTTCCTGCATCAAAAGGCAAAATTAATTAATTAACCAAGCAAATAAACATTTATGTGTCAGGTACTTGAAAGAGCCACTACTGTGCTTGATAACCACACTACTAATGAGAGCTAAATTCCTTCCTCAGGGGAGAAACTGTAAAGGAAACCTTAACTAAGATACCCAGTACACCCTCCTGGTTTGGAACTCCTGCTTCTCTAATACTCACTTTTTGAAAAGGAAATACTGTAACCAAACTTCCTGAAGGACTCATACACACTGAAGGCTCCTGACACAGAGGACTTCAAATTTTGCTGTTTTGGGTAGAGGCTTCTGATAATGTCAACTCAGACGTGATCCCAAGTCCCGGGGAACTGTCGATGACCCGGGCAGCGACAGCTGTGATGATCACCTATTTCCTTCTCAGTGAGTAATTCTGAAATGGGTTTATTGTCTACGATTAATTATAATAAATGGGCAAGAAAAGGGGGAGAAAAAGTACTCTAAATGCTGGTGTCATATGCTAGCTATGCAACAGGATACCATGTCTCACCTCTTTTTAAAAGTCCTCAGAGCTGGATGTACAGTTTGTAGAAATGTGACTACTTTAAGAATAGCTAGGAAAAGTACTGCTGTCGCAAGGTTAAAGTTCTGGCGTGGGTGGGAGGGGTATGACGCAGTCATTCACTCCATCCTCCTCACAGGCACCGGGAATACCATTCGCCTGAGCCGGCTGTATAAAGGTTTTCCTTTTCTATTTAATTTTTAAATAGAGAATTTCTCCTCTATATGTAAAAATAAAATTGAGCCCAAATGAATGAAAAGCTCTCTCTTTCCTGAAACTAAGACAATGTTTGAAACGTGACTGTGAAACGATGAGTAAAACTAGTTTTAAATGAGCCACACAATTATGACCTTCGCCGATACTACAGATCTCCATGCTGACTTCTCTCCTAGGCTCTGCCAGCATCTTGGTTTCCCTCCGCCTCTTCCACTTCTCCCACAGCACTGCTTTTGCTAAGGAGTCTGGTTCCCATACCTTGGAGAAGGCGTTCACTGCGGCTACTCTGAAACTCAGAGTGGCTGAGAACTAAACAGGGAGACAGACAGGATGGGAGTGTAGCTGACATTTACAGTAAAAGTTTTGCACTTTCTCCCTTTTGCATACCAAGAAGTTAAAAACAAAAGTCATACTGTTAGTAAACAGCAAGGTTATGCCCATTTGGTTTATTTTTAAAGTAAAATAACTTCATTGCTTTCTCTAAATATAAAAGTGATTCATAATTATTGTAAGCAATATTGATGAATCAATTAGCATGGATTAGAAAGTAAAATTCATGGCAATGATGGATCAGTTAACATTTTGGGGAACAATTTTTCACTCCACTTAAATAAACATAGTTATAGTTGTGTTATGTAGACTGTTTAGTAATTCACTTTTATTTCCTAGTTATAATGTATGACATCTTTTCATGTTAATACGCACAGCTTAAATATCACTATTTGAATAGGTCCTTAGTCTGTTAGGTAGACAGAGCCTGTATATAATAATGCTAGAAGCAACCTTCTAATTCTAATTCTATAGACTCTATCTTGGATTACTGTGGTTTCAGTTATCTGCAGTATAACATAGTAAGCTATTTTGAGAGACAGAGACAACATATTCACATAATTTTTATTATAATAAATTGTTATAATTATTTAATTCTTAAATTATTGCTGCTTGGGACCAGCAGATAGTGTAAAGGTTATGTCATGGACTTGCATATAACTGACTGCAGTTCAAGTCCCGGGCCCAGTGGCTTAAACCTCTTGCCAGGCGTGTGTGCATGTGTGCCCAAGATCCCAGGAAGAGAATGGAAGAGAAGGGATTGTGGTATGGCCATTACCCCTGGGGAGATTTCTTTCTGTCTGTCTCTCTGGTGAATGCACATACCCTATAGCAAATATCTCTTTTAAAAAAATGCTGCTGGGAACCAGCAGTTAGCGTAATGGCTATGTCGCTGGACTCCCACGTAGTCGACCGCGGTTCGTGTCCCGGCCCCGGTGGCTTAAAACTCACGCCGGGCGCATGTGCGTGCGTGCCCAAGATCCTGAGAGGAGAATGGAGGAGAAGGGATTGCGGCGTGACCATCCCCCCTGGGGGGTGATTTCTTGCTTTCTGTCTCTCTGTCTCTGTCTGTCTGTCTGGCGAGCGCACGTGCCCTACAGTGAAAATCTCTCTCTCAAAAAAAAAAAAAAATGCTGCTAATCTTCTACTGTGCTGTATTTATCAATTTAACTTTATCACAGGTATGTATGCACATGAAAAAATAAGTTCGTGTTATCCATAGTTTCAGTCATCTACTGGGAGTCTTACAATGTATGCCCTGCAGATAAGGGGAAGGGCTACTGTATTTGTTTTGTTTTATTTTAGAATTAGTAAGACAAAAGATGAACACTGGGGCCAGCAGATGGTATAGTGGTTATGTCACTTGACTTTCACATGGCTAAATATGGTTCAAATCCTGGATCAGGTGGCTTGAAACATGCTAGCCACGTGTTACTATGTGCCCAAAATCCCAAAAGGGGAATGGAGGAGAAGGGACTGTGGTGTGGCCATCACCCCTGGGGGAGGGGTGGGTGATTTCTCACTTTCTATCTCTCTGTCTCTCCAGCGAGCGCATGCGCCCTATAGCAAAAATCTCCCTCATATACAAAAAAGAAAAACATTTAGAGTTCCTAGAGACCCTCTATAGGCCAGAAGTGAAGTAAGGAGTA